GAAAGTCCGAACTCTCGAGGAAAAAATAAAAAGTCCGAACTCTCGAGGAAAAAATAGAAAGTCCGAACTTTCGAGGAAAAGAAGTCAGAATTCTGACTTTTTTCTTATACAATACAGAAATAAAACTTAACAATCCGTTAACTTTTTAAATTTTTTTCATTGGCCCTAATCCTATTCCGTGGTTCTCCTTTAAAACCCACTGATATATGTCAATAATTTCATCTCAGTTCCTTACTCCAGGGATTCAGAACCAACCGGATGCATTGATAACCTAAAGAATTCAGATCGATCCAACATACAGTAGCAGCGGCAATTGTTTTTATTTAGCTTTAATCTGATTGGTTCTTCGCTTAGATTTTATCTTCTTGTTTGTTCTTGAGCGTCTTAAAGGAAATAACCGAACAGCTGATTCTATATTAGGTTCACATTCATTATTTTGCTCTTAAACTAATAAACTTCTGACCAGAAGTTAGTCGCCAGCTAAGTGGACTCTTACCTGCTGCACCTGGAAGCTCAGGCAGCGGAAACACCGGACTACATGAAACTCCTGCACCATGACAGACCTGTGTTGCCATAAACCTGGAGCTGTGGCTCTGCTTTGAGCTTTGATAATATTCGCGGTTCATGACGTCATTTAGAGAGGCAAAGTGTAACCAAATAGGACGGTTGCGCCCCCTGCTGGAGGGAGGAATTCCTGTCCCTCCAGAATGGTTCAAAATAGCTCTCTCTATTCGGCGGGTGTTTACTGTACAAAGTCCTGTGCAGTGATAAACACCCACTCCTGAAAGGACTTTGTAGTCAGCGATGTTGTCAATAAAGGTTTTTTTCTCTTTTATAATTGTTTGGTCAAGATTATTGTTTGTCTGCTTTTAACAAAATAGTTACAGCTACATTTGTATGCTGGTTTTTCAACGTTTCTGTTTTTCTGGCTTTCTGCTATTTTGATACACGGTACACTGACCAGCTCTATGCTGTGCCTTTCACTGGTCCCAGTGATTAAAGATAAAACAGGAAAGATACCCAATATCGAAAACTATAGGTACATTGCATTAGCATGTGTGCCATCTAAACCTTTACAAAGAACCCTCTAGATTCCAAAAATATGTATATACCACTGATGAGCAATTAAGTTTTAAAAATAAACATCTCATATTTGTTTCTATGCTTTGAAAGAGGTAGTACACAAATACAGAAAACAGAACTCTGCTATATTTCTTTTTTATGCTTCTAAGGCATTTGACCACATGGATGATGGCAAAATATGAAATTATTTAGCTCGGGTCTTAGGTGTTTTAGTAGGCAAACTAACCATTCAAGTTAGATTGGGGAAATAAAACATCTAATCCTTTCTTTGTGAAAAAACGATGATATGTACAAAGACAGTATTGGAAATTATATGCAAAAGCAAACATGGTGACACGTACATTTCACACGTGTTCTGATTACATCAAAGTTGCTTTGTTTAAAGTCTACTGTACTCATTGTACGCTGTGGGCTAGTAACAGTGGGACTAAAATGCATGAATTACAAGAGCCGTAATGTTTCCAATTAAAATGCTGTGATCAGAAACCTTTTGTATAGATTTATAATACATTTTCAGGACTGAAAATAAAAAAATAAAAACTATAAAGTTTCATGATACTGCCTCCATACTATGGCCTATAACACTTGCATTCAGACCGAAACTGCTGGCACTATGGTACTGTCTAATGGCTGCATTCACATAAGAAAAAGTGGCTTGAGGTGCAAATTGCCCCAGCGGTGTCATTTTGGGCCCTCCAGTAAAAAAAGGAGCAGTCAGAAAAGGCTGGGGGTTCTTGTGTTAAACTTCAGGTTCTGCTGCTCAGGTTCTAAGTCCAATTGACCCCTTCTTGGACTGGATTATTGCAGCAACACCAGTTGAATCTGGATAAATACTTACTGAGCATTCAGCCCAAGGCAGATCCTCCTCTGTGTGGAGTTTTGTTCAAATACAAGTGCGCCCTCTAGAGGATTCTGCAGCTGCTGAGTCATGCAACCTCAATGGAGACCAAGCTGCTGTCAAAAGCTGATGTTTGCAACCACCTCTCATGTAATCTCAACATTCATACAAGCACCACAGAAGAAGAAGGATGGTCCTTTTAGGTTTATTAGAACAGATCAATAACCAATCAATACAACAGATTTAAAAGCAGGCAGATAAACAGATAAAAAAAAAAAATACTGTGAAGTCACTATGGACAGGAGGTACACTGAAAACAAAAAGAACAAAGCTAAGGCATAAAAGTATGAAAAAAATACAAACACTGAACTTATTTGCTTTCCTTCAGTCATTATTTTCTTAAAATCATCTTGCTGTGATATCGCCTCTATGAAATATTCACTACAGGGTTTTTACATGCCTGTGTGTTTTGGTTCTGTAGCAGATTCAGGAACCAATAAGAGATCAACGACCAACACTTTCTGCTTTTCTTTCACAATAAAAGCCCCACAATCCACTTCCATAAAAGCTTTTACTATGACACACATAGGAATCACATGATGATGATGATATCATAGGTCTGTCAGTGACTTCCTTGTAAAATGACTGATAACTCCAGGTCACTATCATTGTGGGTGATTCTTAGAGTCGAATGGAGGCCGTGACTGATCAGGTGACCAATCGGGGGCCCAGATGGCCGCTCGGGGGGGGGCAGGTGACCAATCACTGGGCCAGGTGACCAATCAAGGGATCAGGTGACCAATCAAGGGGTCAGGTGATTGAGTAGTGATGTGATCGGTAAAGTGGTCAGACAGGTTATCAGGAAATTAGATGCTCAGGTCAGTAAGGTGCTCAGGTGAGTCAGGAGGTATGCTGGTTGAGTTCATGGTCTGACGCAGAGCTTATCTGATGCTCCACAGCACGCTGAGCCTTACAAGCGGCTATTTTGACCTGGATGTCCGTCTTCCTCTCGAAATACTCAACAAGGGCTGGCTCCGTCAATAGTGAGGCCAGCACTTGCTCGAAAGTAATTGACCAATCCGCATCCAGCGTGCTGCCCCGCCTGTGCTCTCCGCTTACCAGCACGGTATCATCAGCGATGTCCTCGCACTGCAGAGAACCGGAGCTCACCACCGAGTACGAAGACACAGATGTGTCGTCTTTCGTTTCCTCGTCGGATGTCTGCGGTGCCGGCAGCTCCAGCTGGGCGTCGGCCAGAGCACGGCAGATCTGGGCCTCAGCCGAAGTTCCTTCGCCGGGCCCCTCTTCCACCTGCTGGGCAGGAGGTGGGGCCTGAGCCTCACACTTTTTGGCCCCATTGCCAAACTTCTTGCCGACCTCTCCTATCCGCAAAAGCAGGCTGGCAACAGTGGCGATGGCGTGGTAGAGCTCCTGCTCGGATGGCTCCTCGCTGAACATGTTGTACAGCGTCTTGCACAGCTCAATAAATTGTTCCTGTAAACGGGTTAACAGATGATCATTGCTGAACATTCTCACTGTCAGAGAATGCTCACCTGCATCAGGCCTCACCTGGTTCATCCTGGGCAAGTCTTTGATGGTTTCTCTCTTGGGCTCCTTCTCTTTAGCCCACATCCTCAAGTAATACCTGTAGTCCTTCACCTCTGAAACAAGAGGGCAGGCAGGTAAGAACACAAGGTAGCAGGTCAGGACAAGAAGGAGGACATAAGCAAAGGGCAGAGCAGGAGCTGTGATTAAATGTAAGGAGCATATTCACCTTTCTTTTCCTCTTCTTCTTCTCCAGTCTTTGGTTCCTCACCTGTTAGGATGAAAGCAGATATCACCATCATCATCATCTTTACTGCACTGTAAAGTAATGAGATCACACTGTGTTATGACACACCTATAACCCACCCCCAATCAGTGATGTCACCCCTACTCTGCTCGGCGGTATTTATGTTGAGGCACTAAGGTTTCAACAGAGTGGTCTCCTATTGGGTCATGTGACCTGAAGCGATCAATCAGCTAAGATAGAATAAAGATGTTCCAGCACAGTAGGCGGAGTCAAGTTACACAGAGAACATCTGGTGAAACATCTGTTTCAGCAACAGCTGCTGTTGTCAACGTCACCAGGATGTTAAAAAGCAGCAAGACCATCTGGGTCAGTACCGTAAACAACCTAGACTGAACCACTGCTGATTTACAGCACAGGATGAAAAATGCACTGTGACATCACCTGCTGTGGGCGGGGCTAAAAAAAAAGGGGTTTTAAAAACTCAAACAAACCTGATGCCAATTCCTGCCTCCGCACAGAGTCCAGATCAGACAGGAAGGAAGATTCTGAAAGGAGACATGAGAGGGAAGAAGAAGAAGCAGGAGGAGGAGGAGGAATCATGGTGTTAGTCAGAGCTGAGAGTCACAGGAGGAAACAGAACCTGCTGCAGGTGAAAGACAGCTAACCCTCCACCTGTCCATCCATTTCTGTGGGGGTCTGGACCCGTTTCTGTCTGTTTTCAGGTCCAGCTCCTTTAGCCGCTGGCCCAAACAAAAACGCTAATGAGACGGTGGTCCAACCCTTCCTGACCATAAGACTAGAGTACTGGGCTTTACTCTGGTGTCAGTGGGTCTTTAATCGTGCTAAGAGAGAACCAGCCCTTCTTATGGTTAAAAGCTTTTAATACTTAGCGGGCTGTGGCTCTTTCTGAGTTTTGCATTTTCTGTTTCTAAAAGCATTATGAAGATGCTGCTTTTATGAGCTCTGAACTTTATGAACAAAGAGTGTGCTCACCTGGTTGTTGGTCCTCGGTAAAGAAGTGAGTGGCCTCCAAAGCAGACTCCGCCTCCTCAGCACACAGAGCTGCAGCAAACAAACAAACAAACATCTGTGAGCAGATTTTGTTGTAGGAAACATGGTGCAAGCAGACACTATTACCCCATTTATACTATCCTTGAAAAACCGATCCATGCCGAGACCGGTCCGAGCTCGGATCAGTTAACCAGGCCGAGCTTGGTTCTGAAGACCGTTTACACATCACGCTATCTTGGTTCCTCGACTCCTCGCCTCCTAGTGACGATCTGCGGTATTACTGCCAGTATTGAAGGAGGAAATCAAGCAGTTGGAGGTGGTAATGCACCAAAAGTTGTTTGCCAAACGCCATAAAACACAAGAAGAAGAAGACGAAGGAGGAGGGAATCAAGCAAATCAAATTTTGTGTGGAGAAGATTTCGATTATGATAGTTGTTCTTCTTCTTCTGTTTTGTGTTGGTTGGCAAGCAACTTCCGGAGGGGTATTACCGCCAACTACTGGAATGGAGTGTGAATCGGAATGTGCAGCCAGACGGAGATGACGCGTTCTGCTCATGCGCTCTTGGTATCAGAGAATCGAACTAGGGAAAAACTGAGCTGAGCTCACCTCTGGAACTGGTCTGCAGTTATCTCGGTTCGGTTGTGTCTATCTCGGTTCAGTTCAATTTGCTTTCAGTTTACACACGATAAGTTATCTCAGTTACTGAGCTCGGACCGGTCTCGGCACGGTTCTCAAGGGTAGTGTAAATGGGGTATATGCGGGTATAAATGTATCTAAGCAGATTTTGGGCATCCTGGTTTATGTAGAATTTAGTGAAATGTGGGATTCTACAGCATGTATAAATAAATGTTATTCCCAGGCGAAGCACGAATGGACATGGGACGAGCTCTAAGG